AATAACCATTGTCATCATATCGCGATCTTGATTGTCTCCTTCTGCATACCAATACAGCTTCAATTTTTGAAACAGTTAAAACAATTAATTGATCTAGATTCACAAATATCTGAAATTTACATACTGTAAAAAAATTAAAAGGTAATAACATGCAAAATGAATTGATAAATCGTTTAATAACATTGATGATGATTTTTTCATGTCTTGAAACCGTTTTAAAATTAGCAGACCACTACTCAATTTTTTTCTCCTTTTATTAAGGATTAAATTAAGAAATAAAAATTGGTTACGCTTCATTCAACAGTATACATATTGAATGACAAAGATTTTTCATTCATTATTTTGTATTACATTTATCTGCCAATGAAACACGTCGCTAAATAAAATTTTAAAAAAGTGAGAAAGAGAACTCTATTTTGATATTTTTCTTTACAACTCTGTTAATCATTAACCATGAAGTAAAAAAAATATATATACAACTGATGCATAGATACTGAATTATTTACAATTTATGCAAATATATTAGAGAATTTTATAAAACAAATTAATAACCAAAATCACTTAGAAGGTATTTCTCTCACCTTTTTTGGCGTCCCTTCGTGGTGTAGTGGTTATGCATGCTGGGCCGGTATTCCAGAGGTCCATGGCTCGATTCCCGGCGAAGGCGATTGCTCATTTTTCATCTTGCCTGCTTCCAAAAAATACCTATTGTCTCTATAGTGGCACCCGAACTAAAAGGGTGATGGATGATGACTCTCCACACCCAGGATTTGGCGACTGGATCCCCTGAAAAGCCCAATCGCCCTTTAAAAGGGGGAGTATATAAGGTATTTCTCCCACCTTGGTGTGCCTTCGTGGTGTAGTGGTACTGCACGCCGGGCCGGTATTTCATAGGTCCGCGGTTCGATTCCCGGCGAAGGAGATTGCTCATTTTTTCTTCTTGCCTGCTTCCAAAAAATACCTAATGTCTGTACACACTTTTTACCCATCCGACAAAGAATGTTCCTTTTATGCGGAAGTTTCCTCGCTTTTCGATTTGTGAGGAACTGTCGTGTGCGGAAGTACTACCAAATCGCCGTCGAAGTAACATGCTCTGGATGTTAACAAAATGCACCTCCTTTGGCTACCAATGCTCAGCAGTACTGTATCAGGCATAGTGCGGAGATGGAGTCTCTTCTTATTCAATTCCTCTATGCGAGGACTCAGAGAGGTAAGAAAAGACTTCCTACTTCTTACTTCCTATCTCCATGGAGGACTGGAGGGGTCGGGACTTCTGCGCATGAGGTCGGAGGAGCCCATGCGGATTTGGAGAGCGTCGCCGGTTATTACTGTCTTTGTCCGGCTGTGACGAAGATTGGCACATATCCAGAATGCATATCTCAATCGTAATCTGTTTCTTATTTAACCAAGGGTTTTCATTAACGTTTGCTGTTAAAAAAAAAAAAAAAAAAAAAAAAGAAAGAAAGCGTTGTGATCCATTCGCCGGTTTCAGTATGCGACTGATTAAAAGCGATCTACGCGACTCGCAACAGTTAGTTCATAGGGAAGAAAACAAACATCTATTTCGTAGTCTTCCCAAGAGAAAATACATCAAAGAGGTGGTGCATTACTTTATAGTTTGCCTTTGTTCAGTTTTCATTACAACGTTTACCGTACAGTTCGAAGTTTTATCCTGTTTCTGTTTAAAATTCCCTCACCAACTTACTCATAAAATAGCTGCAGTTATTATTAGACTTAAGGGACCGTCTCTTTCAATATTTGTTTTATCAAAAAGTAAGAAAATAAGACTTGACTCCTCTTTTCTGAATTATCTTCAGTTATTTGGGATCAAAGATGGTTAAAATTCTGAAGTTGGATTCCTAAGAATTTACGTAATTTGTTCCGGTTAATTCTAAAATACATAACATTCGAGACTGCAAAATCGTTGATTATTGCCAAAAAAGGGGTTTCTTCCTTCCCCAGAAATATGAGCAATATCGAAAGTACTGGCAGTAAAATAAAATTTTGTTTAAAAAAATTGTAGTAAAAATTAAAATATGTTTATATTTATTAATATTTTTATTAGAATATAATCCAAATTACCAAAAAGAAAGGTATTGAGTAATGTTCCGCAATAACGAAGGTTCTTAGGATATAATTGCAATGAAAGAATTTGTGCACTAATGGATGAGTGGGTAAGACTGTTGAACACTGGTAGTTAGATCGACTGGTAGCTCAGATCCTGCAGAATGAGCATTTCCGTATGTTTTCTCCCATGTGGCATAAATGCGAAGCAAATTTCTTAGGAAGTACTCTATGAAAGCATCTCTTCTTTTAAGCAGATAGCGCTCGAGTGCTTTACTTTAATAAGTTAAAGAAACCAAATCAAAGGCGTAATTGATTATTAACGATTTAATATTTAAAGTGACGTAGAAAATCCTTACTGTGTATCATACATAGTTTTAGTTCATTATTATCGCTTTATATTTATATAAATAAATCAAATTTATACGATGCAAGATATGATAAATCATTACTAAACTAATTGCCTCATTGAGTAAATCAGTTTTGAAATTTATGTATGTCTTCGTGGAATTTAATAATGCATGAATCAGAAAATGTTAATAAAGCCTTGCAATCACATGCTCGAACAATAAAGTTGCGTATTCAACAGAGTGATTATCTTAATACTGAGTCCCGGGAAGTGGGTTAGATAGATGGGTGGTTTAATGGTTTTTTCATGTGTAACGTAAATAACAGCCTTAGGAAATTCTCCAAAAAGCATCACTCTCCTTAGCCATGTAGCCCATCGTATTTATTGTCATATTAAATTAAGCAAATAAACATAATAAAAGAATTATCTCTTTCTTTATAAAGAGAGGAAAAGCATTCTTAAGGAATGTGAAAATTCAGATTTAAGAATAAATACATCAATGACAAAATTTGAAAAGAAACTTAAAGAGGAAAGTTAATAAATAATGTTTTCAAGAATCAATTAATAAAATGACTAAATTTTCAGAAAAATATTTTTATCGTAAAAAAGAAAAATTTTGATAGATGCTTTAATCTTACAATTAAGCTGGAGATATGAAAAATAAACAAGATAGCTTCTAGTTTCTAACTGGTGAAAATTTAGTTTAGGTATTAGTTTTCAGTTTTTAACCTGTCATTAAATTTTACGCATTTTACTACTACGAGGAACTTATTACTAGCGCTGAAACTCCGTCAGAAGTAACCTAATATTAGAAACCAAGTTTTTTTTTAAATAATTCTGGTTACTAAAGCAAGATTACAACTTTTAATGATAACGCAAGAATATACCTTAGTTTAATCGTATCCGGATTCGAAAACAGTTTTAAAAATATTTTTAAGATTGCCAGTTAAAAGTTTTAGAATTTAAGCAGGTTTTGAAAAATTATGGGAGATTTTGCTTTGTTAAAAAGATTAAGTAAAAGCTTGAAAATTAGCGCAATACTTTTCATATTAATTGTTATTTTTATTATTTCAGCGTCATTTGCTATTTGTCTAAAAGGTATTTTTAAATGTTTTCATTTAAAAATTATAAATTACTACATGTATTATTTTCTGAATATAATTACGAAAATTTCTGAAATTACGAGTATAAATTATTACAACAGTTACGATATTAGTTAATGACCTTTGCAGAATATAATGTTGTACAAATGCAGTTAATTTGCGTGTAGAACCTCTTTGCCTCAAGTGAGCATTGTTGCTGTTGTATTGACAAATGTTGCTGCACTACTATATTCATCCTAAAACATAAGTAATCAAATAAATTTTGAAAAATATTATTGGCTATTTTGTTTCATTAAAATCCAGGATAGTTAAATTATAAACAATCAAAGTAAGTGCATTATTGTTTATTATAAATTTAGATATATTTAATAACTAGACTTCTTCACAGTAACATTCACACGAGTTTATGAATGGATAAATTCTTTTTATACTATTTCAGTGCTATTGGTTAATTATCAGTATCTTTCATTTAAAACTCTAAAGCATTACTAAATATTACCAAAGTTAGAAAATTATGATTTCAAATAATTTTCTTTCATGAATATGATGATGTACGAATACTGTTAATTTGACTATGTATACGGGAGTGTACTTACCTCTTTGTCTCAGGTGAAAAATTATCTAGGCACGACTCTGGTCCGGAGGAACGCGTAAAAAGTTAGATAACTTTTTTTTTCTTGCAAAATTAAGATATGCAATTTTTTTTAAATTTAAAAGTATGAAAACAAGAGTATTTTCGTCAATTAAAACATTATTGTAACTGGAAGTATATGTTTACAACCAACGATGTATCGTTAAGTGAAAATATAAAATATAATTAACACATAAAACTTAAATATGTTTCCTTATTACATTCTTATATTCTACTTCATTTGCATCAAGTCAGAATTTCAGAATTAAACTTGAAGCGCAAACGCTAACATCCAGTCAAAGGGCTCAGCGTTTGGTTATTTGAATACGGCAAAGTACACTAGAGCTAAGGGGAGGGGTGAAACTGGCTTGTATTCACGTTATACATAGTGAAAAACCATGCAACCTGACCATTTGCCTAAGATCTAGGGCTAAGGGATACAAATGATTTTATTAAGTATTTTAACCACAAAAAAGTACTGCGGTAAGAATTCATTAAAATTTAAAAATTTCAGTGGTAAGGAAATTTAAAAATTTCAATGGTATTCCAGTATATCAGTGTTAAATTACCATTACAATAGCCACATCGAAAAAAAAAAGCGATTTTCGTTTGCTTTCGCCTGGAAATTGATAAGAATCAAGTACTTTGTCAAGCTGTGATCGTGAGAACTACAGTATGCATATGATGATCGTGAGAGCCACAACATGCGCATCTAATTTAAATTTTAACGGCGTTTATATATATTTATTTGTTACAGTCAATTATCTGCTAATTTTTGAAAGATAAGCTTTCAGTTTTTCCGTTTCATGCTGGGAGATAAGGATTTGAGTTTCGAAATTGAAACAATTTTTTGTCATCTCGCTTTCGAAAACTGCTTTCTCTGCTGTGGGATTGTTAGCACTTGTTTCCAGGTGATAGTCCCTGATAAACCAACTTTATAAACTTAACAATATTTTTTGTCATTCAATTGGTTATAAATTCTACACCGGGTACGTATCAAATTTTTGTCATTGCTTTAATTGAGTAAATGCATCATATGCAGAATTCTATAAGATAATCTGTTTTCGATTGAATTATACCTCATGTTCCTTATTAGTAAATAGCCTGCCATATTTATGAACCTTAAAGAGATTGTGAACAAGCCATAAAATATGTTGTGGAAACTATGGCATTTTTAATCTTGAAGTTGTAGGGATATTTATGCTTATTAATAAATTATTTATGATTTCAGTCTTCACTATAATCTCCCCTTTTCGTATTTCTTACCAAAATGCAAATGAGTAGTGAGTTTTAAAACTGCGGTTTTGGATTTTAAGACAGAGCGTGTTTCTGGCATCGAGTGAGCACTACGTTGTAAGTTTCCCACTAGCTCTGTTGGTTGTAATTATTCGGTTTTGCGTATCCCTACCGACACTTTAAATTTGACGCTCCGGTAGAATTAGTGAGCCAGCTTCTAATAGTTTTCAATTGTGTAGTCCTTGGTTATTTTTCAGCATTTAATCTTATTTAGACTGTTCTATTTTATGCTGCATCATCAGGTGTTAGTCTCACGCTATTGCATTAATAATCATGTATTGACAATCATGCATGAATATTGCATTAATAATCATGTATTGACAATAAGTGGTTAAATTTAGCTGATTTTATCTATAATTGTAATTATCAACCGTATCCTAATCTCTCACAAAACTATTATAGTTATATCTGCATTATTTATACTTGTAATCTGTAATTAATATCCTGTAATTTGTATTGTTTTGTAATTTGTACTTGTATACATATTAACTCTTATAAGGAATAGCTCTATATTCTATATACGAGTAACATGATTTAGCGTAGTTAGTATATTTGTTAGACTCAGTGTATTTAGTATATTTGTATGGTTGAGTGTATTCCTAACGCACAAATGTGTAACTTTCATAGCGTATTTACAACGTAGCCACGTATTTACAACCTATGCTTCACTGTAATAAGCAACTTCCTTGTTTTATGCTTGCAATAATAATGATGATAATGTAACAATAACCTAGTACCTTCGCAGCGTATAGCTCCAAAATCTGCGTCACACTATTTTGCTACGACCAATATATTTATATTTAGATTCAGTCTCAATAAAAGCCCCTTCTCTTGGCTAGTGTGGCTGCTGGTTAGTTTATTTCTTCGTTCATCAGGGAAAAATCCGTTCGGTTGTACCTTAGGTCGGATGTCTGGTCAGTGGTCTTCTTCATCATCATGTTATGTTTAGTTGTAGAAATTGTAGCACAAGTGAGTGCCCTTATGTTCTAAATTCTGTTTAAATAAAAAGGCTAGTTTAACCTTCTCAAGCCTTTGTTCTCAGACATAGTGATAATTATTAGGATTATTAGACTAAACTAGCTCGACCAGATCAACTGTAACACTACAAAATTATCTATTTTCGCTGACCTCGTCTGATAAAATTTTAAATAACTAGCTAATTTTATTTACTTTGTTAACCTTGGTATACTTTTACTCACATAGCTCCATAAGAAGGGGTTACCGGTGTTCAGAATTGATTTCGAACTGCTGTACTAGAGTTTAAGTTATCGAAACGAATGCATAAGTTTGGACTAACAGTGTTAAATATTGAAAATATCTCAAAGCATAGCTCAGTTGAGATTGAACACAAAAACTTGTACGAAACGGAAAGTAAGATACAAAGAATTTGTATAGAGTTGCAATATAATAAAGTAACCATTAATGTTTTCAAATCCTTTTAAATTGTTTAAAATTTGCGTTTGCAGACGACTTACTATTAATTTTCCAAGGAAGGATTTTGAATAACATTCCTTTGAGAGCACAAGAAGTTCTAGATTTTGTCTCCAGTTGGGCGATTTCTCATAAACTCACTTTCAATCCTTCAAAAAGTAAAGCTATGCTTGTTCCCAGTACGTTTGATGAACAAAATATTGCTTCTTTGATGCTCGATAATTCTCCGTTGGAATTTGTAGAAAATGTTAAATATCTTGGTGTCATTCTTGACCAAAAATTAACATGGAAAAAGCACATTGAATTCCTTTCTGCTAAATGTGAAAAAATTATTAATGGCTTTCATCAAATTGCCAAAAATACTTTTGGAGTAAGCTACGATGTTAAGAAACTCATATATAAGCAGTGTATTGTACCTTTTATTTCGTACGGCTGTCGTGCTTGGGGACATGTTCTTGCCAAGAAGGTTAACAAAAGAAATTTAAGAAAGATTCAACGGAGAATTCTTCTTCGTATTATTAGTGGTTATAGAACTTTAAGCTATGAGGCTACTTTTGTTCTTGCAGGAGTTCCGCCTATTGATTTTGAAATTGCATATAAGAATAATATTTTTGAGTCATTGGCAACTCATGCTTCGGAAGACTGTATTAATGGAATTGTCCCCTTCACTGATCTTCCTAATCCCGCTTCTTTAGAACCCATAAATTTCTGCGATTATAAAGAGACTGCTGAAAAAGTTTTCATATGGTTTTCTTTACAGATAAACAAGATAAGATGAACAACAAGGTTGGCCTTGCATTTGTTCTTTTTGAAGGCCATTCCGCGATTTGTTCTTAGACACCGTATACGGAATGAATGTACAGTTTTTCAAGCAGAACTTCTGTGCATTTATCTTGCCGTCAAATGGATCCAGGATCATGGGACAACATCCTCAAAGTACCTTATTTGTTCTGATTCTCATTCTTTTCTTCAACGTTTGAACAGTATTACCAGCTGCGATAAATTAGTTATCGAAACCCTAGTAACTGTTAGTTCACTTAGAATTAGAGGTATTGATATCTGCTTTGCTTATGTGCGTGCTCATCATGGTTTCTACGGAAATGAAAGAGCTGATTTCTTAGCTAAAGATTCCTTAAATTTACCCATTGATATCAACATTAGCATTCCAAAGAGTTATTGGAAGTCCTTTCCTTATAAAAAGCTTTTAGCTATGTGGAATGAGGAATACATTTCATCTTGTAATGCTGAAGTCATCAAAAAGTTCCTTCCTTCTATTTACCATAGACTGAATTCCGAGTCTTTCCTCTCGTTAAATTTTAAAGTGTCTCAGTTTTTATCTGGTCACGGTAAATTTGCAAGTTATCTGTTTCGTTTTAATCTACGATCAAACAATTTATGTAAATGTTCAAAAAGAGTTCCTCAGGATGTGGAACGTTTGATTTTCTTGTGCCCTACATTTGATGGCCCTAGATTATGCTTACAGAACGATTTGAAAATGTTCGGAGTGACTTGGCCAGTGAACTTACCTGTTTTCGTGAAGTCCAGACTGCTGTTCTCTGCTTTTGTTCGCTTTATTTATGCATGTACTTTTTAATGTTTATTTATACATGTAACCTTTAATGTTCTACTTAACTTACTTCTGTAAGCCCCGTGTTGTACATACACCTACATATTTCATTAAAATCAATCTTTCTTTTCAAACATGCATTTCACAAGGTGTTTCCATATTTTTGTCCATTCACTGTATGTGGTGCACGGGGAGTCTGTATGTTCTCAAAGGAAAAAAAATCCTTTTAAATATAGTGTAAGATTAGAATTCAGTCATATAACTGTACAGCAAAACTTTCCAGTTCGTAAAATATTTACTACGCTTTCTCAAGTCAAATTTCCTTCCATTCATTTACATACAATCCATTAAGTACAAAACACGAATAAATATAACAGAACGAATGTACTGCCTCAGAAAATTTTCCTACTGGTATCGCTGAACAAATATGAATATTTTTCGCGCAGATTGAGAAAAAAACTATAAAACGAAACGAAATTTGCTTGTTTGGGTGATTAACGGGTAAAACCGCATTCATTATTAATTTTATATAACTTGTGAAACGATTAATAATAAATATCGCCGCGAATTTTACACTGTATACTTACTTCTTTATATATATGTATATATATGTATTTATATATATGTATATATATATAAACACTTTAAATATTTCTACGTTAGTCTGTGACTCTTTGCAACCGGTAGTGCGCGGTAAGAATCAATATTTGAGGAAGTAAAGTCTATAGCCACTTTTTCTTAACATATTTTATACATACATATAGCTACCTTGTCCTATTGCTCTTATTCAGCGAAAGAGCCTCTTTCATTTAAAAATTTATATGCACCAGCATAAAGTGAGAATGTCTACCTGCTTAATATTTATTATTTATATTCTAATTAGGTTGACCAGGTATCCGGTAATTCCAAATAAAGATCATTAAGAAACGTATGTTATAAATGCATCTTAGCGATCCTTGCTAATTTCAAAGCTGCAGGCTGTCCGGCAAAAGACAGCTCAATCTAAAATAACTCGTATGCTGGACAGTTCTAACTAAAGATTTCCCACTTTGTTCACCTTTTTCACGTACTCTCTATACTTTATTTTGGGTAAATACTTTTTCAAATACTGTGTCTACTACACGTTGTGGAATGTTATATTTAACGATATTATAAAGTTAGACAAACTTTTTTTCATGGCATATTGTCTAGTTTGAAGTAGCTATGGAGTTAATAATTTCCACTCTTTCTGGAACTGTCTCGGGGAATATCGAATTAACTTGTGCAGCTTGAATTTTGCTTTAGATTACTTCACCTTAAGTTTGATTCGTTTAGCGATTTGTTTATGAATGCATAGTTACAGTACATGGTAAATCATGAGAAACATAGCTAATTGATTGTGTTAATGTTGCCTTCTCCAGAAGAGATTTTAGCCTAGGCAATATGCTATATTTTATTTTTGTTTTTTCTCTGATGTCTTCCATTGAGCCCCGTGTTGCTGTACTCCATGATCTGCAGAGATATTTGATTTGGCGAAAGTTTGACATTGCTCGTTTTCATTATGCTATGGGATGGGAAATGAAAAGGAAAACATGATAGTTTTCTTATTGTAATTTTGTATCTGATCAGTTTGATTTTATGAAATCTTTTATATGCTCTGAGGGAAGATTAATAATAGCGAATATTGTTTAGTTTATTACAATATGCATATAGTAT